TTTGAGTGCTATTTTAGATAAAAAGATATTTCATTTCAACGAAACAACACTACAAAATTTTTTTGCACACTTTTAAAATTGTTCGAAAATTAACCTTTTTTCTTTATAATCAATCAACAATTGTAAATAACTGAAATATGAGGTCCCATTCATCTGGTCCTTACACATGCGCAGTCATTCCACATAAAGTCTGATGTTTCAATTATTTTACGGCTGTTGATTGACTGTCAAGGAAAAAGGACAGTTTTCGGACAATTTTACAAGTGTACTAAAGAATTTTATAGTGTTGTTTCACTAAAATATCTTTTTATCAAAAAATGGAACGCAAAAATTTTCGGTGTGTATTTTCTCTACTATACATTAATGTAAGTGCTATTTCTTTACTATGTTCAAATTTAGTAGTATTTTTCCTACTATTTTTACCAATTCTAAAATAATGGAAATACTTATAATTTAAATATCAATATTCATAAATATCTTATACTTACATCGGGATATTTTGCGGTTTCCTCGTCAGTAATTCGTTGCGCAGTTTGAGCATGCATCATCCAATCTCTATGGCGTTTGGAGGCAATGGAATTCCAGGCTCAAACGCAGAATGAGTATTAATTAATAAGATAGGAATATTTTTTTCTGTTTCACTTAACGGTCTAATCTTGTGACCTATGTATTGCTCAGCAATTCGTTGAGAGTTTGGAATGTAATAATAGTATCGAATCAAATCGTCCACGACATAATAAAGAACATTCAATGTTCTTTCCCATAGACTTATAGGTTTTGTAAGATCTTTATACGGATAAGATCGAACAGTTGGATAACTGGGTCCCCCAATGTGATATTTGAACCAAGGTGGTCCAAACAGGCAATAACCCACTACAGTTGGCTTCCTTTAGCAATCTGAAACAATTATCTACGTAGAATGTTATATATTTTTTGTATCTATTAGAGAAAATTTATTTTAACAATAAAAAATTTACTTCTAAAATATGATTTACAATAATGAGAGTTTATTCATAAATATATATATATACATATATATATATATAATATATATATTGTATATATATATTTGTATATTTGTAAAAAAATTTACTTCTAAAATATGATTTACAATAATGAGAGTTTATTTATATATATATATGTATCTATATATTTGTATATTTATATATATATGTATGTATGTATGTATGTATGTATGTATGTATGTATGTATGTATGTATGTATGTATGTATGTATGTATATATATTCAAGATTTTAAACGAAATATATATATATATATATATATATATGTTAATAATTTTAGAAGAAAATTTGTTATTTTCTGAAATAAAATTCTTATTTCTCTTTTAATTTGATTTTTAACTTGAAGATAATTAATTTAAAAATTAAATAGCTAACAATAAAATAGATAAATAAATATTATATAAAGCTATGGGAGAAGAGTTGTTAAATTAACTTGAAGATAATAAGTAAAGATTATGAAAATACTGCATTATAAAAATTTCTTTTTTTTCAAAAATGTGAAAATTAAAATATTTTGGGAATCAATTTATATATCATTTCAGCCGTCTAATTGAGTGTGAACTCTTTAAGATGTCTTTTATTTATACATTCTTTTTCTGTTTAAGCCATTTTTTTGTTTTGTTTGCTTGTTTCACTACAAATAATGTATGATGCTAATTAAATATCTTGGTTACATAAATATGTACATATAATTTTAATGTAGTCTTGTAATTGATACTTTTAGTACATCTATGTACTACATCAACATTCTACATATATGTATACATGATTATATGTACATATTTGTGTGTGTAATTGTACATTTATTATTCAAATCATTGTGTACATACAAAAAATATTGTTTGTATTAATAGCTTATATTCTTTATACTTACTTCCCATATTCCGTATAAAAATTCAGACACCGAAATATCTTGCACTATAACATCAAATTCAGTATTTTTTATCATTTCCATAGTTTTTTAGCTCCTTCAGTTTCTATCAATTTTTCAGATGTGAGTATTGCCCACTCATATATAAGTATGTCATATAAAATACAGTATACTTTTCCCATTCAGCAGGATCATATTCCTCCTGTATTTCATCTATTACATTTTCGAAAACCTGAAAATAATAAATATCTTATATACCTAATATAAAAATAAAAAAACATGTAAATTAAAGGAAACATTATTTAGATAAGCCTGACTTATTTAAATAACAAGATAGATAATTGCTGCGCACATTTAACATATGTTTATTGTTAGATAATATGCAATGCAGATAATCATTTTCTTTTTCTTTAATAGAGTTTTGTCTATATAGAATATTATATTACATTTTATTTATAATATCTCTCTCTCTCTCTCTCTCTCTCTCTCTCTGATATAACATTATTGTATGAACTGATATAATATCGAGTATATAAATGGCAGCATCCATTCTTCTGTTGTTTGTATGTACTTATGTGTTGTAAAAACTATAAGCTACTTATATATTATTAGTTATAAAATTATAAAATTACTTATTTTATGCGCTGAAAATATTATCTAGAATATTTTCAAAATTCATAACAAACATATATACTTACTGTGTATGTCATATTCTGCCCTAGTTTATCATTGATCTTAGTTTCTTGAAAGCTCACTGCGTGTACATGATGGCCTTTGCGAAGTAATCCCTTTACTAGACTCATTGTCCAAATATGATGGCTGGGCGACAGAACAGGTTCTATTAGTAAAATCGACAGCGAATTTGATATTGTTGCTAAACCAATTAAAATACAAGAAATAAATAAGTATTTTAACATGATTAAAATATCGCTATCTTTCTTGCTTCTCGCAATCAAATTCACGAATGAATCCTTTCACTAACTACCTGCAGGCTGATTATATCTCTATTTGTAACTTAAAAGGATACGAGTGGGGAGAGATCCTGGCCAAGTGGGGGTTAGTCTCTTACGTAGAATAAACCATAAAATATTATCTTTTTTAAAAAAAGTTAAAAAAGTGCCAAGTTCATGCGTCATATGTGAAAAATGCTATATAAGAACAGAATTTTAATTACTGAAAAATTAATGATATCAAAAAATTGCGCCAAATAAATAAAAATGTATATAAAAAATTAAATATTAGAAACTTATACAGAAATTAAAAAAAGAAAATTTTAGTTAAAGACTTGGCGCGTTGCTAAATAATATGCTAATGATATTTTCAATGTACAATGCAATAAATTAATTAAACTATATGATTATACATTTAATACATTTATTAAATAATATAGTATATTTTTTGATATTAACGTACTTTATACATTCATATTGTAGTCATTGATGTTAATTAATTATTTATTACTTTAAGAGAGAGAGAGAGAGAGAGAGAGAGAGAGAGAGAGAGAGAGAGCAGAGAGAGAGAGAGAGAGAGTTGTTTTATAGTTCAAATATTTGCATTGCAGTTAAATTAATAATTATATTACTTTAATTTTTTATAGGTGCTACATATATGAGTGCCATGTTTGTACTGACTTATAAATAAAGGCTGTATAGTTTTAAATAAACTTTATAATGACATATTTGGATTTTTAAAAATGGTAAAATTCTTCAAAATACTTCCATCACTTATTATTTTTAATATTTTGATAAAAATGTTATATTTATTATATTAAAGCTTATTTTATGTCAAATTGAACCATATCGTACGATACAATTTATCAATAAAAAAAAACAAAAAAAGCAATTATACTTTTGATCAAAAGAAATCGCAAAAAACTCTTATATTTTCTTATCATTTTATTACAATATAATTTAACATATTGTATAAATATGTAATATCCAAGTCTATTATGAACATCATTAGATTTTGTATCGTTATCGTGTTTTACGATAATTTACGAAAAAAAAGAAGAAATAATAAGTAGTCATAAAACAGCGAGCAAATAAAATTAGTATAATTAGCTTGCGTTTTTTATTATTTCTTAAGCATTAATTTCCATAACATAACAGTATCATATATGGTTAAATTTGGCGTAAACATGAATTTTATTTATAATATGAAAATATTTTCCAATATTTAAAAAAAAAGAATGCTGGAAGAATTTTGAAAATTTTTACCATTTTTGTAAAATCCAAATAGCCATTGTAAAGTACATTTAAAACCACAAAACTTTGTTAAAGCAATTTTTTATAATTTTTATCATTTTGATGATATTTGCTTTGAAATGTAAAATTCGATTTCCTTTAAAGGTTGCTTCCCTAAAACCGTTTTTAGCAGAAACAAAACGTCGTTTCGTAATTAGGATCTACTATATAATTATGCAGCTATTAAAGCTTTTAGATTTCTTGAACTTTTGCGTTTCGAGGACACAGTAGGCCCTGGATTTGCAGCCATATTTGGTCGTATTTTGTTTCCCGATTGTTAACAATTTCCAAGCAAATTGTTAGCTGGGGATAAATATACATATAACCAGTTATTAAATTGATTAGATATCTAAATAATATATACGCCATGTATAAATAATACATAAATACATATATTTATTCATATTTATTTGTCTTATTTATTGCAATGAAGACATTGTATAAAGACATTTGCATATATGTAACGAATACTATTATATATAATTTAATAATAACAGAATTACTACTACTATTATTATTATTATTATTATTATTATTATTATTATTATTATTATTATTATTATTATTATTAATAATATAAACATTGTGTGTGATTCACAGAAAATATCACGCACTAGACTATTAAAAATATACATAAATTTTATATAAAAATATAAAAAATTTATATGTTTAAATATACAAGTACATATATGTACATATGCAATGAAAAACAAATTATGGGCTATAATAAATGTCTACAAACAGTTTCAATTAATTATCGTTATATAGCACAATTTTTGAGCAACTAATTATTATTTCAAATTGTAGTTTAATATTACATATTATTTATAGTAAAGTACAACAATATATAATTATTATATATTCTTAAATTGATGTGCGACACTTATTATTAATATTTGAATGGATTACATTTGTTTTTTCTTCTCAGATTTAGATTTGCTACATACACGATTACTATAAAATTAAATATTTTTTTTAATATAAAGAGTATAACCGATAATATTATGATAAGATTAAGTAACAAGAATCCGTAGATATCGATCAAATTCTGTTCCACCCAACTCTGAGATCTAAGTGGAGATGCTAAATTTCCATTTGGATGACGGACGGCATATTCGATCCACCAAACCGCTAAATCTAACGGCGGCACTGGTCGATCCCGATATTCACTGGATAGTTGTTTCATATTTTTTGTATAACTGCACAAAAAATGTTATTGTAATGTTATTAGTGTTAATAACATTATATATATACTTATGATGTATTTTATAACTAATTACAGAACAAAACACTAAAATACACTTAAATAAAAAAAAAATTATATTCTAAAGAAATATTTATTATTATACAGTGAGAAATAAGTTGATAAATTAACTAAACCGTTCAATTGATCAGTACTTTGTTCATTAAACATATAGAAGTATTTAAATTAAATAGAACATATTAAATCTAATATGTACCGTGTTTAATTTAAATATTCATATATCGTTAATTAACAAAATAATAATTATTGAACAACTTTTTTCTCAGTGTAGTAATATTTTTTTTTATATAGTTAAACTACATTACTTTAAATAATTTTTTTATATTTACTATTTGGATGATAATCATTATAATAAAATATTAGAAAAATATATTTACAAAATATAAATAGATATATAAAATTATTACGAGTAAAGCTATTAATACATTGAATATATTTAAATATTATACCTTTCATTGTAAAGTATTTTGTTAAATGCATCTAATACGGACTCCGTGGATAAATCATTATTAATATTCAAACGCACAGCAACACCTTTATGTTCTAATAATGCCACATTGAATTTCTGATCCGCGTAAAATGGCATTCCGATCATTGGTATACCTTTCCAAATAGCTTCCTGCATACTAAGAAGACCACCGTGCGTCCAGATTGCTTTTACATTCTTGTGACCTGAATATAAATATATTACAATAAATTTGGTGAAACAATAATGAAATAATAATTTTAGTTGGTGTTATTAAAAGCAAGTAATTTCTACAATTATAAAACGTACATGTTTCATTTAGAAGAACGCTATCATTTGAAAACTCTATTTGGATTATATGAATTAATGTTTGAATAACTAATAAAAACAAATCAAAATTTAAATATAAAGACATTTAGAAAAATACATAAAATAATTATGAAAATACCTAATTAATATATTAATTATTATTAAATTACAAAAAGAATATCGAATCGCGTACTTTTTGCGTATCTTCTAATATATTTAAATTTTACTATACATTAAATAACAACAGTTTCAATTAATTATCGTTATATAGCACAATTTTTGAGCAACTAATTATTATTTAAAATTATAGCTTAATAATACATATTATTTATAGTTAAGTACAACAATATATAATTATTATATATTTTTAAATTGATGTGCGACATTTATTATTAATATTTGAATGAATTACATTTGTTTCTTTTTCTGAGATTTAGATTTGCTACATACACGATTACTATAAAAATTAAATACCTTTTTTAATATAAAGAGTATAACCGATAATATTATGATAAGATTAAGTAACAAGAATCCGTAGATATCGATTAAATTCTGTTCCACCCAACTCTGAGATCTAAGTGGAGATTCTAAATTTCCATTTGGATGACGGACGGCATATTCGATCCACCAAACCGCTAAATCTAACGGCGGCACTGGTCGATCCCGATATTCACTGGATAGTTGTTTCATATTTTTTGTATAACTGCACAAGGAATTTTATTGTAATGTTATTAGTGTTAATAATTTTATACAAGGTGTCTCATAAGTCAATCGTTCAGGAGGTGAATGGGGACTCAAAAACAAGAAAAAAGTTGATATGAACATTGGTTTGAAAATGCGTTGTTTTCGACCTACTATGCTAAGCGACCACTTAGCTCGGGCTGTACCTTGATAGTACTGGATAGTGCTAAAGCAGCCCGCAAGTTTTATTTGACTTTAATTATGTTATATAATTCATAAAAATCTATTATTTCAACGTTGAACAAAAAATTCGAAAGTAAAGCAATTTTAAATTTTAACGTAAAAATGGCGATAACCTGAAAACAACGTATTTCCGGGCCTATGTTCATATCAACTTTTTTTCTTGTTTTTGAGTCCCCATTCATTTCCTGAACGATTGACTTCGACTTACGGAACACCCTGTATATATAATACTTATGGTGTAATTTATAACTAAATGCAGAACAAAATACAAAAATACACTTAAATTTAAAAAATTATATTTTAAAAAAATATTTATTATTGTACACTGAGAAATAAATTGTTAAGTTAACTAAACCGTTCAACTGATCAGTATTTAGTTCATTAAACATATAGAAGTAATGTAAATTAAATACACCATATTAAATTTATTATAACGTGTTTTGATTTAAATATTTATATATCTTCAATTAACAAAATAATAATTAGTTGATTGACTTAAATCAAGTTAACAACTTTTTTTCTCAGTGTAGTAATATTTTTTTTATATAGTTAAACTACATTACTTTAAATAATTTTTTTATATTTACTATTTGGATAATAATCATTATAATAAAATATTAGCAAAATCTATTTACAAAATATAAATAGATCTATAAAATTATTACGAGTAAAGCTATCAATACACTAAGAATATTTAAATATTATACCTTTCATTGTAAAGTATTTTGTTAAATGCATCTAATACGGACTCCGTGGATAAATCATTATTAATATTCAAACGCACAGCAACACCTTTGTGTTCTAATAATGCCACATTGAATTTCTGATCCGCGAAAAACGGCATTCCGATCATTGGTATACCTTTCCAAATAGCTTCCTGCATACTAAGAAGACCACCGTGCGTCCAGATTGCTTTTACATTCTTGTGACCTGAATATAAATATAATACAATAAATTTGGTGAAACAATAATGAAATAATAATTTTAGTTGGTGTTATTAAAAGCAAGTAATTTCTACAATTATAACACGTACATGCTTCATTTAGAAGAACGTTATTATCTGAAAACTCTATTTGGATTATATGAATTAATGTTTGAATAACTAATAAAAACAAATCAAAATTTAAATATAAAAACATTTAGAAAAAATATATAAAATAATTATAAAATAATTGTGAAAATACCTAATTATTATATTAATTATTATTAAATTACAATAAGAATATCGAATCGCGTACTTTTTGCGTATCTTCTAATATATTTAAATTCTACTATACATTGTGTAAAACGTACCCAAGATTTCATTTTGGGGCATCCACTTAACAACCATTATATTTGGTACTTGAAATGGCAAGTCAACATCTAGCTTCCAAAGTACTCGTTGTTTGAGTTTCGATAGAGCTAGTGTAATGATTTTAAGTTTCTCTAGTCCGATAGCTTTCCACTTTACATTTGTTCCCAATGATATTACAACAGCTCCATTTTCTGCACCATCGAGAAATTCACGTATGCTCTGCAATATGTTATACAAACAATAAAAACATTTCGATAATGTACTATAATATGAATATACATGTATGTACATGTCTCATTATGTCAATCAGTCATAAATGTCTAATTCACTCTTGCAAAACAATAAATTATTTCATAATTTTGCAAGGAGATCAAGGGTTCTATGTTAAATTTGTTTAATCTAAATATGTCTATATTTTTTAATGAAGTGATTATGTTAAAATAATTAACTATGAATAAATATAATTAGCATTTACGAATTTAGCGATGTAATGTATTTTAATGTATAATTCATGATTGCGAAATGCAAATTCGAATAGAATATTACATGAGAAATTGCTTATTTAGTTGAAGAATTTAAATTTTTTAAATAATATGATATATATATATATATAATTTGTTTGAAATTGACTGTTATTATTATCAACCAGTTAGCTCAATTCTAAACGATTAGACTTTTAAAATCTAAAATCTGATTAATTTCATAAGCAACAACAAATAACTATTTTTTATTTGTTTAAAAATTTAACTATTAATTAGAAAATTTTTTCAGAATGTTTTGTATATACAAAATATGAATAAAAATATAATTCAAAATTGTATGCAAAGATCAATAATTAGTATTAAATCAAGATAAAATATTGATTAAAACATTTTACTAAAGTGCTATTTCTTTACTATGTTCAAATTTGGTAGTATTTTTTTCTACTTTTACTAATTCTAAAATAATCGAACTACTTATAATATTAAATATACATATCAATATATTCATAAATATCTTACATCGGGATATGTTGCGGTTTCCTCGTCAGCAATTCGTTGCGCAGTTTGAGCATGCAATCCTCCAATCTCTATGGCGTTTGGAGGCAATGGAATTCCAGGCTCAAACGCAGAATAAGTATTAAGTAATATGATGGGAATATTTTTTTCTATTTCACTTAACGGTCTAATCTTGTGGCCTATGTATTGCTCTGCAATTCGTTGAGAGTTTGGCATATAATAATAGTATCGGATTAAATCGTCCGCGACATAATAAAGAGCATTCAATGTTCTTTCCCATAGGCTTATGGGTTTTGCAAGATTATTATACGGATAAGGTCGAACTGTTGAATAACTGGGTCCTCCCATGTGATATTTGTACCAAGGTGCAGGACCGAACGTGCAATACCCTACTACAGGTGGCTTGCCTTTAGCAATCTGAAAACAATTATCTATGTAGAATCATATAAGTACATTTTGTATCTCTTAGAGAGAATTAATTTTAATTATAAAATATTGTACTCTAAAATATGATTTACTTTAATGTCAGTCCATTTTTAATTTATGTATGAAATGTATATGTGTATACATATATATATTATATATATATATATATATATAATATTCAATATATGTATATATATATATATATATATATATATATTGAAGATTATAGAAAGTTTAATATATATAACAAATCATATATAGTAGGCCAACTGAACGAGCAAATAAATAAGGTGTAAAAATTTTTATTAATAGTTAAATAATTAAATTAACATTCCGTTACAGAATCGATATAAATTGTAAACGTTTCGACTGCACTACAGTCTTTATCAATACATAAAAACTCCCCAAGATCCACATGGAAAATATTCCTTTTAGATTAATAGTTTCCTCAATAAATACTTCTCTATATAATATTGCTTCTTTCTTTCATAAAATTTTAAAAGATAGCCTTCCTAGAGCGGACAGTTTTGTAAATAACAGTTTTGATATATGCAACATTCTATCAGGGAAACAATACAAGATACCGACATAATAGTTTCATTGGACGTTGTTTCATTATTTACTAATGTTTCTGTAGATCTTGCATTAAACGGTATCAATAATAGATGGCATTTTATAGAGTCACACACAAAGATTCCCAAAAATGAATTCATAGGTATGATAAAATTTATATTAACTTCTACATTTTTCACTTTTAATAACATAACTTACAAACAAATTTATGGGACTCCTATGGGTTCCCCACTTTCTCCGATCATTGCCGATATAGTCATGCAGGACTTGGAAACATTAGTAATTAGTAATTAAATTGCGAAATGACTTTCTATTTCCGTTATGTAGACGACATTATTTTATGCACTTCCGCTGACAATATTACATATGTTTTGAACGAATTCAACAATTATAACGATAGACTACAATTTACATTGGAAAAAGAGGATAATCGTTGTATAAGCTTTTTAGACATAATGATCAAAGTAATAGATAATAAAATTTATTTAGATTGGTATCACAAAAAGACATTCTCAGGTAGATTACTTTCATTTTTTCAAATCATCCGACTTGTCATAAAATAGGAACAATTTATAACTTGGTAGATAGAGCTTTATTACTATCACATCCGCAATTTCACAAAAAAAATATAGAGAAAGCTATTAACATTTTGCTATCCAACGGTTATCCTCTTGATCTAATTTTCACAGAAATAAAACGCAGATTAAAAAATCTCTCAACTAAGAAATTTAACAAGCCTAATAATAACAATATAACAGATACCAATAATACTAATACTAACATTAAATATTTTGTCATACCATATATAGAATCAATATCTGAGAAAGTTGCTTCAGCAATAAGAAGACCTGACGTAGTGGTAGGATATCGTTGCATTAAAAAATTGAATGACTTCATAAAAGTTCAAAAGGACAAAAATAATTGCCCCACGAATTCTAACGTTATTTATAAATTGAATTGCAACGATTGTGACGCCACATATGTCGGACAGACAAAAAGACAGTTAGGAACGAGACTTAAAGAACATAAAAATAATATTAAATTAGACTCTGCTAGACATTCGGTTGTCACAGAACACATTCTAAACGAACAACATACATTGACTGGGACAATATTAAAATTATGGATCACGAAAAAAACTACCATAAAAGACTAATATCTGAAATGATCCACATTAAAGAACAGAAAAATGGAATAATTTAAATACAGACACCGAATTGTTAGACAGTAGTTATTTTGACATACTTAAAAAATTTGCTGAATCATAATTTAGAAAAAACATTGGTAATAAATAAATACATCACGCTCTCTATTTTGACAT